ATAATTGAATCATGAAGGGGTTGAGGAAGTAACAACCCTACCTGATATACTGTGTCATAAAGTTGATTATTTAACATATCATAAAAATCATATAATATAAATAAAAATGTTAGTAAATAAATGGAAGTAGCTTAAATATTAAAGATATCCATTTATATTTATATGTTGTTCAATATATACTAATCAATCTAAGAATTAGACGCAAAATTAATAAAACTATAAGTGCACCTTAATCAAGCTACATCTGTGACAACTTTAGATTCTAATAATTATCTACTAATAATAAAGGAATTACTTATATAAATTCAAGCTTAAAAAATACCTATGCCTCTTTTGCCCCAAAACTAATTTATGGAACATATCTGTGTTTGTAACAAATAAAATAGACTGATAATTTTATCATACTCTAGAAGAGCCTGACAATATACTCAAGTATTCCAAATTTGGACGGACGGATAATTTAAACTTGACAAAGAAATGTAAATTACATCAAGTATCATTCTGATTGAAATATTTCAATTTATAATTTAGTTTAGTAATAAGGCTAACCTCGGCCACTGTTTCTCGGATATCTACCCATTTTAGTGGTCAGTTCTCTACAACTACAAATAGGTATACCAGATGACTTTAGTGACCCTATAAATAGTATAAGTACTATATATTGCTTAATGAAATTACAAATACAATAAATACTAAGCGAATAATATGATTTTTTTTTTAAAACACATACAGTATAATGTTTCGCCTTCCGAGTTCTGTGTAGTGTAGCCAATGTATCTACCTGCCAGCGCTATACACGCTTACCATATAAAATTTTAAATAACTGTACATGGTAAAGCATCATTTTTTTTCAGTTAATTATCGAAAAATATCATAGTCCAATATTATTATTTTTTAACAAAACTAACGAAATTGGATCTGTTTAGCTAATTAAATAGCCTTTCGCCAAATATATAAAATAACAAACAAATATATTATATATTAATACCGTTATACATAATAAAATAGTTTAAATTTTTTTGAAAATCATTTGTGTACCTATTATAGAATATTCTTTTTCCATGGTAAACAAAGCCATCCGGTATATATTCCGGTACTATACAGAACAAATAAATATAGGTTATATTATGTGTAATTAATAAAATATATGTTCTCTATTTGTATTATTTTGACAATTGAAATTTTTATTTCTATGACTAAAACAGAATGCAAGCTTTTCGCTAAATCGGGATTTCTTTTGTAACGTATTTAGGGGACAATGGCGCACCGATTGCAGGCTTGCTTTAGGTATTTTATTTTCAGCCATTAGGTACGCCATTGTCGACTGCATCATTGTATCAATACAATGCGTTGCAAGAAACATTTTCAAATAAATCGGTTTCGGACCTAATAGTAATTTATACGTACGTTATAAAAAAAACACTAATGTTATTTACATTCTGGAAATTATTCCACATTCGTACTGTAAAAATAAAGAAATGATTTAAAGTTACAACGAAAAGAAAGTTTTCTAAATTCAATAAAGTGGAAATTAAATAAACTTTACAGAATATTTTTGTGGAACCTTTGCAAACGGGATTTGAATCAAGTTTGAAAATACTCCAGATTGAACTTTTAATAGAGTTTTTTCGTGGCAATTTATAAAATGTTTAAAACCTTATTTATTTCATATGATATCGTAATCCAAATATTTTATTAAGGCTTTAAATCGAAATAACTGTTATAGCTGCTATATAAGATTGTAACTTAGTTTATTTCATATCGGATATTGCAAATATTAATTTGCTAATTCTAATGACACAAGACAACTTTTGGTAATTATAATGTTCATAAAAGAATTTTTATAAAAGATTTCAGAAAACATTTTTTTCTGTAGATTTTAAGAAATATGTACTTAAATAATAAGGTTACATTATAGAGTCCGTAAAATGTACTTTGTCGAATTAAATCTATCTTTCTTCACAATGACTTTATAATTTTCATGAATCTTATTGGTGAAGCACAAATGTAATAAAATAAATAAAATAATTTAATTAAATCTATACAAAGTTTGCGAAGATATCAACATATTATATTTACCAGTTTACAATTATAAAAGAATGTTAGTATTCTTAACTTCCGATAGATCACCACAAAAACGTTGAACTTAGCGGCTGAACTTTAAGAACCAATTTCCTTTATGTCACTAGCGATCATTGACTGTTGTCGTTTATAGTACATATTTATATATATGTAGTATGTTGTATAGTACATATTATAGCGTTGTACACAAAATTTTATTCATCTAACACAACTACACTTCCATAAATATTTTAAATATCTACACTTCTGTTTGAGCTTAGATAGGTAATTTTCAAAACAAATATCTATTCTGTGTTAAGTGGATTAAGCAATGAATTAAATATATTACTTCCATTTCGTGCGCGTTCACTAATTCTTATATATATGTAAACTAATATTATAAAGTGGAACTATTTTACTGTTCCGGATAAACTCAAATATTATGTGATTGATTTAAAATATTTATATTTGACTTTTTGAAAGATAAACCATAGTACATGGTCTGTTATAACGGATAAAACATTAAAACCACCGAAAATAAAATCGCAACTGAGAGCACACACTATTGTATGTAACGCCGTTGGATCACCACGGTTGTCTGGGGATGACAATATTGCGTAGAAGCGGGTATATTCATATTTATACAAATCTTGCGCAGGGTGCAAAAACATTTAGTTAAAATATTAAAAAAAGAAACATACCGTAAAAATACAGTAACAGAATTAATTGTGAAAAATATATTAATAACGTAGAGCGTTATCTACATGCTGTGTTAATATATAAAAACACCAAGTTATAAGCATTCAGACGAAGCCGGATCTAGCCATTAGTAAAGATATATATTCGTAAAATTTGTAGTTATATGTTATTACATAAATAATTTAAAACTTGTCTAACAAAAACAAAAATGAACAGATAATGCGTTCCAACCTTCGATCTGTGAGTAGGGTTCCGACTCGTGAATTTTTAAATAGCGTATCGAAGCCTTTACAAATCCAAAACATAGAGCGCACTCCAAACTCGACATAAATGATTAGGAAGGTATTGACCCCGGGTACTGATAATATTGCTAAATTTGCACATATTTTTTTTGTATTTAATAATTTAATATCAATTTCACATAAATCAGGTAATTTAAATTTTAATGAATTAATTCAAATTAACCTTTTTTCTACTACGTTAATAAGTAAATCCTTAATATTGTGTCCTTTAACATGTATTAGTTTCTGTGTTCTACATTACATGCATTATAGAAACACAATAGCAGTCTACTTTATTACGTTAAAATTATTTACTCCTGATTTAATATTTTTAGTATTCTCTTATGTCCGTGTTTGTAATGCTCTCAATATTTACATGCACTTCGTCTTCGGCTAATACAAAAGTAACAATAATAAAAATATCTATCTGTCCGTTACCTACGTATTTACGACAAACTGGTTAAATGAACTAAATGAAATATCACGAAAAGGATCATAAATTATCTTATCTATATATTCAAAATGTTAAAACAAAAAAGCTCACGAAGTCACAGATATCAGCTAGTTTACTGTAAAGTTTGCTATAAGTAAATATAGAAATAACTCTATTCTAAAGAGAAATATAATAAAATAGATTGAAAATGAGGAATTTTGTAGACACATATAAATAATAATAATAAAGATTTTATATTCTTTTATCATTCCTTTTATAAAAACAAATATAAGGATGCTGGTCAAAGTAAATGACATAAGAGACCTTAGAGTTACTTATTTGATAAATATTATTAATCTTCTGACACTAGGTCTTTTGTCGCCTAATCAAAAATTGCACGCACAATAACATTTCATATTTTCTCGAACCGTTATCTAATTTGTACAAGCACGGCTCCGTCTGTTGATTGAGTGGAATGAACGTTATCCGGGTCATTTCAAGGAGTCGTGTCAACGTTTTCTCTGATAGTCCGGACAAGGAATACTCCAGCGAAACGAAACGACATCGAAATAATATTTTATTTTACACCACAGCCTCACAACATTTACATGGTGACCGTGAAAGAGTGAGTAATGAGTGAGCAATGTATACAATCTTACATTTGCTTTGAATCCTCAGAAAGGCGAAAGAACAATGCATAGATATATTGGTTTAACAGAAGAGATACTTGAAATAAACCGAGTAATTTGCATACTATGACGTAGTCTTACTATGCAAGTTGCGCGGTTTATTTGCAAAATTGTTGTCTTAAAAAAGGAAACTCGTATCTAGTAATATAACTACAATATGTTGTTATGATAATGATAACTTCTAACATTTACATTATTTACTAATCCATTTTTAAAAGTATAATAAAAATTGTAAATTTACACTGAGCTAGTAGGTAGTTTATTTGTCATAAACAGCTCTGTTTTATTTATTTTTAATAACAACACTGGTAAAGGGAATAAGAACTCATCTTATAAAAATAAAGACATGCTATTACAGTTGTATGTAATAATTTTAGAGTAATCAGAATACTTTATCGACTCCCTATTATCTGTAATAATATATATTTAAAACACTAAACTTCGCCAGATTTTACATACTGTATCCGCCCTAAATATGTCTATTAACATCTTAACTATGTTTATTATTACAGGAGACCTAGTAAAAATTTTAATCAACACAAAGTGTCACACCATCTTCAGACTAATATTTTATATACTTTCTTGACAGCCCTTTCAGGATCTTTCTTTTCTGAACCTTCCGGTGGTCGTGGGTTTGATTCCTCGCACGGTTCACGCATTCGTATTTATACGTATCTATGTTTTTTTATTGGACTAGATGTTTTCTATATATGTATGTAATTAAAAAAATATATCAGTAGCCTAGTACTCATAAAAGCTCTACTTAACTTGGGACTAAATGGTTAATTAAAAGGCGTAAAAAATTTTCACATTATTGTAAATCAGTATAAAATTATATTAATCAATTTCCAAATTCTTAAATGATTTTTCCAATCCTGGGAAAATAGTACTAATTGTTTTAGGCTGACCAGGCCTTTTCGACTCGTCTACCCGTTTCTTTGATTCTTCCTCAAAAAACATCTTATTAGCTTTTATTTTATTCCATGTTTTATCTGTAAACCATAAATTTATAGTTAAACCAAATTAATTTGATAATTATGAATAAATTAAATATTTTAGTATTTATAAAGATACCTCTTAATTCGTGACAACTTTCATTATAGCCTCCAGCTTCTTTTGGTAACGTTTCCAGAGGAATACATTGTTGTAAAGTATTAGAGCCCACTTGATGAACTTTCAACAAGTCCAGCATCTCCTTTTTCATTATAGGTTTCATCATAGCCAGCATTTTATCCACAAAAATCGGTGCATTTATAAAATGAAATTCCTTAAGGCGCATAAACATAGCCTTCTGAAAATATATTAAGGCACTTTAATTAAGATTTGTTCAGTTTTCATGTTATTTGTCTTAAACATTTGGTTACTCTAAAACACCAGCATTTTATCCACAAAAATCGGTGCATTTATAAAATGAAATTCCTTAAGGCGCATAAACATAGCCTTCTGAAAATTAAGGCACTTTAATTAAGATTTGTTCAGTTTTCATGTTATTTGTCTTAAACATTTGGTTACTCTAAAACACTACCTGTATAAAGTAGAAGAACTCTTGTGCTACATTTAGATCAATGCGAGTTATATGATTAAGTGTCACTTTATCCATGTTTACAATTATGATTATTCCGGGTACAGTTCCTTCTTCGTACTGCCAAAGATCAAGTATCATTACAAAAGCCCTAAAAAGCAGATAATCATGAAATATTTTTTTTATATTTGTGTTATTTGTACGCTTATTAGGTATGTACTTATTTTCGTAACGCCATGCCAGGAGTGTAAGGTGCGTTTGCCAATCTTAATTTATAATTAATATCATTTTTATACAACTACCTTACTACGTCAATATAAATCGATTTTTTGGGATCATCGTCTAACAATTGACAATAAATAGCTCGGTATCCTTGAGCTGTCATTGTCTTTAGTGGTGTTATTAACCTAAAACAAAAACATATTTCAAGTATTTTGTTATTAGTAAATATAGAGATTTATTGTACTACCTACCTACTTACCACGTATGAAGAGCAAGTTCCAACGAATTGTTTATTTCTCTGTTTGAATAGAAAGAGAACATTGTTCTAAGAGTATAGTTGAGGTCGATCACCTGTTTTGTCAACTCCATGTTATATTCGCAACAATAGTAAGCCAAAACTATCTCAAGATCTGAATGAACAAGACAAGAAAATATTAATAATAATTGTACGGTTACCGTTTAAAGTTACAACCGTTCCAACTCATATTAGATGACTGTTAAATTAATCTTAATGATAGCAACGCACTTTATTAATTAAAACGGTATGCGGTCAAGTCCCATGCACTAATTGCAAGCACCTACTTACATAAGTTTACAACAAGAAGTTACATTTAGTGAAACATTGTCTCTCTCAAAACTAGAATTAAGAGAAATTAGAATTCCACCTTATACACTAAGTATATTAATTTTATTGAAAGTATTGATCACCCTTAAATTGAATTATAATATACATATATATATGCTTACCAGTAATGTGGTGGTATGGAAGATGTGGCTGTGTATTCAGCCAATTTCGTATTGTTTCAACATCTTCCGACTTTAGACGTGGTATTTTTTCGAATTCTTTCTCTATTGAAAACTGAGCTACAAACATGTTATGCTCCTAACAAACTGATTCAATTGAAGATATATAGAGATATAGTTGCTTCTGTATGTTGACGCTATGAACGCTGCCAGTCAACAATGATATTAATCGAATGATTGAGTGAGCACCATTCATAATGTACGTCTTTGCAATCTCAAATTAGTGCAAGGTCATTGCTGTTACTTGACATAAAATTCGTCGGACATGTGTGTATAACCTATCTACTATAAAATCAATAGCAATAGGTAGATAATTATTAGTATTAATAATGTATTTAAATATTATAATTAATTTGATTTGATCTATTAAAGTTACATTCTACCACAAAGTACTCTACTTTGTGGTAGACTATGCATTTTTAATTTAATAGACAGTTTATGTCCTCTTCTCTTTGTTATGCAAACTGCCTTCACAGTCTAAGAATATTTTACCATTACCATATTTCGTCGATACCTTACATATATACCTTAAAGTATTTTAGAATCAGTTGTTGGTTTGCTTATACAGTGTAGAAACTTTAACTTTATAAATATAATGAATACCTCAAACTAAGGACAACTATTAAGTTGATGTTATTATTATTTATATAAAAGTTACAGACATTTTAACGTGGAAACAAAAATATGTGAGAGCGTCGTAGCAATCTACTCTACTACTCTTACAACATAAAATATCATAAATACTTATTGTTTCCAGTCCTCTATTAACTACAGTTGGGTAACGTATTATCTGGATACACTGCATGAGAAGTAGCACCGGCGAACAAGACTACCTGGAGATGCTGTTCATGTATATAGGCGCTGGTTACCACTTACCATTAGTAGAACAGTAAGTCTTTGTCATTCCAATGACTAAAAAAATGTATTGTACAGTAGTTCTAGATAAAACCTATAACATATTTTCGTCCTTGTCCGAGTTTCCAGGACATCGGTTCATCATGAAAACCCGTTGAACTTGTGTACCGAACCATCAAATGCTGGCTGAGTGAGTAATGTTCACGGTCCGCCAACTGCCTTCAAAGGATGTCACCTTATCACTATCCATCTTTACAACGTGTGGCCTATATTTAAAAACTATGTTTTAATAATGACTTTGTCTAGATAGTTATAAGAATTCATTTCTATTTTTTTTATATGTAATTATGGCAATTTTGCCATCTACTTAATATATCTGAACCAGAAACTTTGTTTAATATAGTTAGTATAGAAAAAGAAAACAGAGTCGCACATTCTTCATATAGGACGTTACTATAATTTTGTTAGGTTGCTATATGTATATATGTTGGGTCGCTAATTCACTTTCTTTAAATTTATTCGTGTGTTTGATTTAGATATCCATGGGAAAATTATTTGATATCATTATCTACACATTTTATATGGTTGTAGCCCACTCATGCATAAACGTAACATAAAAAATAACATACACATAATACAGATATAACATAAACATAATAAATATCTCCTTTGGAAAGTATAAACACAATCCTGGGGAGATAAAAACCATCGCTCATAAAAATATCCTTTAATTCTTATTCCTGACGGGTCTAGATAGCGAACTTTGAAAAAAGGCGAGCACAATAGATAGGTCGCAGTGCTACAGGTCTAAATCACCTGACAATAGCCCAAAACCCTCAGAATTAAATAGTAATTACCTATACACATAAGACAGGACGAGCAAACAGCTTGTTATGTAAGATGTTTCCAGGCGGACCGTCATTTCAGATACATAATCAAAAAGATTTCAAAGCACAATTTTTATAACATCATGGCTAAATAATACACGATTACATTCAATCATTACATGGTATAAAATAAAGTCGCCGTTGCTGTTTGTCCCTATATATGCTAAAATTTTAAAATCTATGCAACGAATTTTAAAGCGGTTTTTGTTTTACTAGATAGACACCACATGTACACCCGTGCGAAGCCGGGGCGAGTAGCTAGTATATAATAAATAGAAACTCACGTATTTTCTTTTAAGTGTTTCTCCAAACACTTAAGAGAAACATATATCTCAATTTATCAATATTTACTTCTATTTTCTTAAAGGGTTTCATTTGAGCTCAGGCGTCTTCATTATATCTTTTCAGTGTAGTAGTTACAATGATGGATGGATTGTGTGAAAGGAGAAGAGAAGTAAGCTCAGATTTCAGTAGAAGAAGAGAACATATTGCGCCTACCCCATAAATGATTACAGTTAGTTGTATAATGACTATATCATAGCAGTGCTATAAAAATCGCATTTCACGAATACCAAAGCTACAAAATGACCTACATACACTGAGATAAACAGTTAAACTTTTTCGAGAACTATAAAAAATAGTCCGTCACCTGTCACCATCAATCATTAGTCATTATAAACAAACTTTTTTACTTTGCGTTTTCATTGATACCATTTTATATTTTAGGATTTTTTATTTACAAACATTATACACTTATTTTTTTAGCAGTTGCCTATTTTTATATATATAAAAAATGTTTGATTGCCAAAACGATGACGAGGGTGAATATTTCGAAGGTTTATATGAAAATGGACACTGGGATTGGAATAATCACACTCAAGGGCTTATTTTTATAAGGTATCTACTAACTAGCATTTACCTGCGTCTTCGTCTGCTTATATCACAAAAGTATGAAAACTATTTTGTTTTAATTTATGCATGTAAAATGATTTCCCTTGGCCTGATAAGTTTAAAAATGTTAGTGATGATATTTTAATAATTGTCACCCAAAGCCTTAAAATACAATAACATAAATAAATTATAATAAAGGTAAACAAATTATCAAATGTATACTAACTGTCTAATACTATTTTACATATTCCCATATAATACTTACTTACCCACTTATTTGTTACAGTGACCTAACTTCCAAACCAAACGACGTTAAGATATTGCCTCCAGCTACAATAATTGGACCAATTCAATTCAAAGACGATATAGGTTTAATAGAACAAGTGAGTAGATTGAAACATATAAAATATATTTAGGTAACTATTGAAACAAAACGTCCAATATTTACAATAAAAACCATTAGATTATCTTCTTACGACGATACGAGTATTATGCAAAGTACATTAATGTGTATACTATACAATATTGGTCTAAATATGATTAAATGCAATATAAATTAATAAATTTATACTTTTAGCAACGTTTCAAAAAACGTTATCAAAGGAAATCATCTGGGGAAACGGATGTCGTTTTTCTTCAGGTAACCACAAAATATCATATTAGTTTCAATTGTAATATTGTGTAGATCTTAACCAAATGATCAGGCAATAATACTATGAAGTGTCTATGTATATGGGAAAAGGATCGATGTATAGAAATAATTATAATATAAATTTGTATATCAATATAACGCGACACTACAAAATTTATCCCTATATTACTGGTTACAGATCTTTTATATACAAAAAAAATGAGTTCTTTATTAATTAAAATATCAATATCTATATTTGTTATAGGATATAAAAGATATTGTAATATACACAGCACCTATAAGTATACTCAACAAATCGGTGATTAACATTTTACACACATCTGCAGCCGATCGCTTTTTGAGAGCTTCAATATTTTATTTCCAATACTATCTACAGGTAAACCAATGAAATTAAAAAATAATGTATACTGAAAAATATATATTTTTTTAATTTAAATACCATAGATATGTAGTTAATAAATGTTTATATCATGTACAATTAATGTTAGATAGCAGATGAAATGAATAAGCGAATACTGGACTTAGAAAACAAAATACGTACTAAAAACAGCATCAAGACGGAATCAGTATTTCGTGATAACCTTCAAGATCTGCGTTTGTTAATAACTAAGGAATATTGCAACATACTCTTAGGTAATGAATAATAAAGTATGTTAAAGAGCATTTAAAATAATTTCTTTAGACTGACTAACGCATATTTTTTTTATTCATAATTCATTTCCCACCCGATTACCCACTCTTTGACTTACACCGACTATTTATGACTAAGTTATATGAGATACACTCTTTTGAGTCGAATACCACATCCTCGAATTATTTATTATTAAACTATACAGAACATACATTTCTATCTCACTATCGAGATATTATTTATAATAATTCTAATGAAAATTACTTGTTATGTTAAATTTTAGAAAACTATAAACAACATATATATAATAATAATATTCTATAGGTGCTGAAGAATATAAGAAATATCATCATTTGGGACCTAAAAAGAAGTCACGATCAATGTCTAAAAAAGAAAGCGTAATATTTGAATCTGTTCTACGTATCAGTATACAAATAATATGGGTGGCTCTTGGTCGAAAAAAAATTAATGAAATTGGTACCTTTTAAAAATTAGTATGAAATAATTAGTATCTAAACAATTTTCGGTTTACACTCCGCTGAAGTTTCAAGAGTTTTCGTAATAAGGAGGTTACAAATAAATGTATACATATTTTAAATTCAATCCTCTCAAATTTTCACGATCGATTTCAACCCACTTTTCATTACTTTTGTTTTGTTGCACTGCGTTGTGTCGATGGTGCCACAATGCAGTGGCACAAACTTATTTGAAGTTGAGTGACTAATTTGAAATCTATATTTTCTTATATTACAATAGATATATAATAGATACTATTCTATGTGAATTACTTATTGCTGTACAAACATGCTTTGTATATAGATTGATCCATGAAAGAAGGGTTCATGTTTAATAAGCTGTTTATATTCAGTCAAAATAACTTAGCCAATCTGCAAGTATACTAATCTGGCAATTTTTCTACTGGGTAATCTAAAGTTAGGCCATTTACTGATTACTTCTTTTGAACAAGATGTGCGCATGACTAAACTTAACCCGCGAATTGTGTTTATTTCCTCATATGGTTAACTGAAGTATTCTATGACACTATTAGTTATTATTAGTATATTATTTTAAAAATTAAAAATTACACTATATGTACTAAATTCTATAAAAATAATAATACAATTCTTTAGTTATGATATTTGATAAAAGTTACTAAAATGTACTCAAACTTAAAATCATTTATTCATGTAGGAGCTTTCGACCCCTTATGTACTTCATATTTTTTATCACAATCTCTACCGTCTAATTCGCCTAACTACTTCATCGAGAAGAACCTGCAACAAACTCAAATGGTATATATTTTTGGACTGTAGAATATTAATAATAGGTACAAAAGATTATTTACTATCTAATATCTACTTATTTAATATATTTTCTTGTTTTTTTATGAATTGGTTTAAATCGAGTAAGCGGGTATATAATATATGTTTATTACTTTCAGAATTAGAAATGCATAGAATATTTAAATCAAAAATATTCAATATGGCAGAACATAAGTTAGCACATAATTATAAAACTACACTAACACTGGAAGAGCTGTGCGTCTTGCAAGGACATTGCTTTAATCCTAATAACAAGAAATTAAATATGCGCGCCCCTCTCATGAACGAACTCACCTGTCATCGAGATGTTAGCTTCATGGTTTTTGGTCTTGGAGTCGTTAAATATTCTAGGTTTCTACTACTTATTACTACATGTATAAGCATTATATTTGTCATAGTATCAGCCTAATTTGTTCACTACTGGACATAAACTGTAATAAAGAATAGTTCTGGCATCTGTATGTACTAATTCGCTGTGTCTAGTATAGCAAGATTTCAGCCCAGACTGCGTTGTCTGTCTAGAATCGCAGCGTAAAAACCTTCTCAATTTTTCAAGATAATTATTTAGTCGGCTCATTACCATGCGTTTGTATAGATATAAGTAGATAACTAATGGTACTTCATTGTTTATTGATTTATAAACATAATGTACCTACAAGGCTATAGGTAAGAATATTTCTTACTATTACGTCTTATATCCCCATGCGTTTTATTAGTATAGATATAATTAGAATTAAAATACACAGAATTTATTGTGAATCATAGATGTCCGTACACAGTATAAGATATTACACAGATTATATTACATACGGTACACAGTACAAATATTAACTATATGAAAATATATAGATTAAACTCCCGACTTCGCTACATGGAGCGAGTTTTAATAGCGCCGGAGATGATGTTCAGTGAACTACAAGTCACAATTGGTATTATTGGGTTACCGCGGGCCCGTTTCAATACTATGCTTAGAGAGATCAAGGTACCAGCACCCACTACCTCATCTGGAGCCAGTGTCCGTCAATCTATGTCACGGTAATATAATACAATAAGTATACCTTGATCTTTCAGATAAAGTAAATTTAAATCACGGCCCCGCTGCATATTTCCGATGCTCAGTTTCGATTCCTTGCATTTAATATTTAAGTATTTCTATCAGTTATTTAATAACATAAAACTTAATACAACCTCTGATTACTTTGGAACTGGACAACGCTGTGCAAGTCCCTAAGTTATTATTGTTAATATTTGAGTCTAAAATTTGACATTTCCAGTCTAGCATCCAGATTTTCTAAGAGTACTGGCACTGCCCGTACCCAAAAACTATATGATGATATTTACTTACCGCCACAAGATTTTGAAGAAAGGTAATAATCCTTATAATATTAGAGAAATAATCGAACTTCTACAATTACGCAAAATAGTAATCTATCATAGAATAGAAATAAACTTGTAGTATATTATTTCGGCTACCAATCCTGAAAATTTTGTCACCAAAATGTGGTATATAACACCTAAATCCTTGTCAATGCTCAATACAATATTATGCTTTTGATATTCATACTAAAATAAGCTTCTACTCCAAAGAAATTTGTAGCAAGTCTTACAAACTTCAGTCATTCATAGTTTACATTTTAGAATAGTGTTTTGCAATAACTAAGATAAATCATATCAACATTATGCAGGGAACACCTACCCGAATACTTCCCAACTGAGAGTTATCCTAACAAGACATGCAACCACCAGCACAGACTCAAATGGTTGGCGCGCATCACCCGTCTCAGAAGCGGCCGGCGAAGTGCCAAGATCAGACATCCGTGATGTGCCTAACAAAACTTTGTGTTACCGAGTAACAGAAATCCTAAATATATACTCGTATTGTTGGTATAAATCTTTTGATTGATAGAGAATACAAAATGTATATTGTAATTACTTAAACCCATAACACTTCATCCGTCTAAATATTTAATACAACAATACTGAAATACATTGTCACTGTACTTTTGCATAATTGAGAAGATATGGCGGAGCTTACATACGTTTTGTAGCCCATCCGAATGTCAGTCAGGAGCGACTGAATTAGATGATAAATTTTCATGGAATTACTACTATCTGACAGGTTTATTACTATAATGAATAGTACATGCCTACTGCAATTATCCTGTCAGAAGTCTATCGAAATAATATATTCTACAGCTGTCGATGAACTAGCACTATTTACGATAGTCCTCATAAATTATTAGGTACATTCGAGCGATATAATCTCCTTATCTTAATACAAATTGTGCCTTATTTTCAATTAAGCACGTTAAATTTTAGGTTTGAGTAATGAAATACAAATTTTCAGTTTTAGTTCCTATAATTAATAGGACAAAAGTAAACCTGGGATGATATTTTTGTAATCGATCGAGTCGGCCGAGTTGTTTCCTAACAAAAATTTTAAAATATATCCAACAATTGTTTAATTAAAATACATATACAATAACCTTTATTGTAATGAAATATGTATTGTATAGTACATAGTTATACACATATAGCTTCTTCTCTGAGGAGAGAAAGAATACCAGTGGGAGGATGATTATCTCGATAGTGAGATGTGAGTGTATACTGTTATACAGTGTAGGTACCCGTATAAGGTATACATAGTATTATAATACGTAGCAATACAACAAAGTAAGAACAAATGTGACTCGTTGTTGTGGTCTAATGAAATGTCTGTATATAATCAGATAAAATATTATAATCATGTCATTATTACAGCAAACAAATTAAAAACTTTTTTGACATCAGCGCACTATGGCTAATACAATGTTAGTATCAATAAAATTAATTTATCGTAATCTCGTATGTAAACTAACACGACGTAGTTTTTGGATAGAGAAGTTTCATGAGCCTGTTCTGCCAACGCCGGCGCTGCGTGTCGCTACAACGATTAATGTGTTCGGGCTCGTCAGGAAATGATGAGGGAAAAAAAAACCTGTAAAGTTGTTGCTATTATCTATATAATAATACAGAAAATTTTAATAATAAAAAAAACCGTACGAGCCAAAAGAACATCTATGTTACCGCCTAGTTTTAAAGACTTGAAAATTGGTCGAATGTAACCCTGTAACCGAAAGTTAATTTCACTGAAACTGGTGATACTTTGCGTTAATATTTTCTAAATTATATGCCAAGGACAAGCATCCCATGAAGCACATTCTTCCATACCATCTGTGAAAGCATCATGAAAATCGGTTCAGTAAGTAATATTTGTGTAAAATGAATTATGAATATAGAAAGTAATACAGTAAATGAAAGTGTTTGATGTTTATGGGCACACCCATGTGTTTTTTTTTTTAATTTTAAACACATTACTAGGATTTTGCAAGTGATTTCTTGCGAGAACTATATGCTTACTCTCTCTTTTCCTTACGTGGCAGGACAATATCAGGGTATAGTTTTTGTGCAACTAACAGACTTTTTCTCATTGAACTACTACTCTTGGAGCTGTAACCACTCGCCGATGACCTAAATACAACAAAATAATTACTAACACTGGAAATTGTAATAACGACACGATATTAATCTATACTAATATATTATAAAGAGGTAAGTTTGTAAACTTGGATGTTGTGAAGTTTCTGTTACTATTAATCCGATTTTGAAAATTCTTTTAGAATTAGATTGCCCATTTTTGTAGGAAAGCTATGTATCAGAAAAGCTACTGCTAATAGGAATATGGAACTGTAATGAAAAATGTAGTTGAACTGGCGATTATGCCCAAGTCAGCTAGTTCGATATAGATTAATTACTAAATTAAATCATTACTAACATTGAAGCTCTAGACTTTCCTCCTTCTGAAATGACAGGTAATGGTCTCAACATGGTGTCGAATAATGATCGTGGCATACCCAAAATGCCCACAACTATATCTAGTTCTTTTAGTTTATCCTCTGGTCCGGCTACTGCTTGCAACATATAATGAAGACGCGGCGTCATCCTTTCACACAGAGATTGAAGAATAGTACACGTACGTTATAATATATGTATAACTAATATGACAGTAGTAATTATGTAAAACAAATTTTATAACCCAATTATTATCATTTATTTAATTTAATACATATCTAAGTGAAGACATTTATACTCTTTCACTGCTAATTCAACCTTATTTATATAGGTTGAAATAGCTGTGTACGTAGAGACGTATAAACGTAGAAACAGTAGGTAACATGTGTTGTTATAAAAATGAATTTAAAAACATACAGCAATCTCTAGCGTCTATGTAGCAACATGCAAATGATTTTGGACTGATTTTATTGCTCAAAGCACTGAATGAAATACTCTAAACTCTCTTGAATAAGATAATCATTACATAGTATAAAACAAAGTCGCTGTAGCTGTCTATCCGTCCCTATGTATGCTTAAATCTTTAAAACTACGCAACGGATTTTGAAGCGCTTTTTTTAAATAGATAGAGTGATTCAAGAGAAAGGTATATAATACATGTACACCCGGGCGAAGCCGGGGCCAGTAGCTAGTAACTTATAAATTATTTTACTGGGGACTTCTAATAACTCCAATTCCCAACAGACGGTAGTCGATTTCCCTGTGACAGAAGACCTCATTCATCAGCGGTGAACGTGTGTTCAGTTTCTTGTCGTGACGCACGCAGTGACCCAGGAGCACCGCTCGTTCCTCCTTTGCCATCTTGGCTATGTAATTGGTACGCAATGTGTGCTCCACGGCATTGAATATCTGCGACTTGAAGATACGGTTCATTTCCAATTCTAATAACATCCACAATGATTAATCACAGTTTATGGGCAGCGTATAAACATAACGTTACGAATAAATAGATAATATACGTGAATGTTCATGTTTATGATTTTATCCAGTTATTTCTATTCTATAGTACATACATACAGGTACCTGCTTAAAATCATAAGTGTTACTATTGCACAATTAAATTTACATACATAGATACTTTATTCTACAGTAAATTACGGAAAATAAATTGTACTACTAAAATTTTAATTAAATATTTAAAAAAATGACAATGAGCAGTAGCTACATAAAAACATTTTTATTAAAACATTATTTTATTATATTGTAAATAACTAAAAAGATCAACAAAACATAATAATTTGCAAAATAAAATATAGAAATATATATTTATTCATTTACAATATAACTGATTTATAAATTTAACATCCCCTCCAGATTATACAATTAAAACTTTGCGTATCAAATCGCGGCTGAATGGGACAATAAAAAAACAGTCGAGAAACAAATAAATTAAAAAAAAAAAAAAAAAAATACAATATAATATTTACCAATTTGATTACACACATTTGAACACACATACGGAGCAAAGTTTCAAAAAGCCGCGCATCTTTGTCCGATAACGACCGTCGTTTTTTCTGTGGTCCCATGTGGTGAAATTTTCGGGTATCGCTGCCACCTGATGTAGAAAAAAAAGTATTTGTACGTATAGTAATAATAATGGATGTATGTTTATGCTCTATTAGTTACATAATGCTATTAAAAGCATCAGAAAACTACAATAAAAACGTACAAAATGTTACTGGCGTTTATAGTAGTACCTACGTAGTTAATCTAGTAAAAAAATAGTCATACCCAAAAGTTTTAAAGAAAACTGCTAATAATTATCTAAGTATCTTAATAATATAAACGCGGAAGTTTGTGAATGTGGATGAATGGATGGATATTTGTTAGCCTTTCACAAAAAAACTGAATGGATTTTAATGAATCTTTACAATAATATAGCATATACATCAGAATATCACAAGACTATAAATCCAAACGGGAGAAACTGTGGTCACAGCTAGAGATACATAATATAATAAATTCTTTCATTATTAATTAAATAAACAACAACAATATTATCCACCTATAAGCATTGTAGTGTATTCCTTAGCAACTAATAGTCGTAAATCCGACAAATTATCACGGTACTCTTTTTCTAGAATCTCACAGTCTGGAGTGCGCACTTTCATCTCTAATTCCATAATCCGAAGTCCCATTTCATCGGCTACCTAAAAATTTAATGCGTTTAATTACAAAACACCATAAGTTCAAAATAAATTACCGTTATTTTATACAAAATTATTCTTACCTGTAAGTAATATTCAGAGTACAGTATAAGTGCCCTAATAAATCTTTCAGTTGTTGGAAGATGTAGCATATTTATAAGCATGGGGCTCATTATACCCACTGGAGCCGTGAATAATGCAATATCTTTCACGTCCTGAAAATCAGAAAATTATCTTATGATTTGGACACGATGATATATTAGATAGATTATATATATAAATACAGTACAGTTCGACGGCCTCGATGATTAGCGATTTAGCACGCCGCTTTACTTCTGATGATTCCGGGTTCGATTCCTCCCACGGTTCAATTTTGTATCGGCATGGGTGTTTTCTATGTAACACTGTATTGTATGCATAAACAAATATCTAAGTATTGTATGTTCAGTATACGTAATACAAGCTCTGCTTAGGTTGGAACTTTTATGACGCTGTGTGATTTCTCCAGGATGATTATTATTATTAGATGAAATAAGATAAAAAACGGAACCTGTAATTAGTCGTAGTATGATTTATATAGTCTATAAGCCATCCTCTATAAATAGGCTATGGAATCGAACACACCTTTCTTTTATTCGAACCATTACCTACCCACTGAAATTAGCACATTCAAACCAAATAAATAAAACTCCTCAGCTTAATACCTAATATTATTATAGCCTGTAACTAGCTGTGCCCGCTGTTTCACCCGCATGAAATTTACAGCCTATATATAATTCTAAGCGATATTATGTACTCTAAAGTTTCATCAAAATACGTTCAGTAGTTTTTGCGTGAAAGAGTAACAATCTTCCATCCATACACACAAACTTTCGCGTTTATAATATTAATTAGATACTATCATACTTGCACGGTTATGACATCAGCCTGTCCTGGTTTTAATTTTCTTTGGTAACGTCGACGAAATCGAATCTGCAATATTTAGGAAAAAACTTCTCCATAGACTTAAATATTCTAATAAAACTTCTTTCATATTTGTATTAATTATTGAAAGAGAAAAAATACCTGTTCTATTAAATCCACGTCATCTCTAAATTCAACTGTACCCGTGGGCGCCTTAGTTAGTATTTGTATAGTTTCTACGGGCTTTGTAGGAAGATCACTAATAAGAATATGATGTTAAATTATATCATGTAAATTATGGGTCACTTATGTCACCAAAAATTAGCAATGATATTAAACTATATAGAAAAAAATAATGTTTCCTTCAGGAACTAAATAACACAACAATTCACACGTAAAACCCCTAACTAGATACTTAGGTACCGCAAAGTATATATTTATGTTTACATTGAAATCGTGAAAGATCAAATCAATAAAATTTGAAATTCCATAATCATACTACCTATTTAAGCCCAATGTTGGTAAAACAGCCTACAGACATACTAAAATCCAGATTTTAGCTATATTAAAGCAGTTGTGGTAGGAGTAAAATCGGCGTACACACTCTGATAAACTGGCCCCAATTTCACTTCAAACGCTGCGATCTAGGAAGTGATCCAGGGCGCTCCCCATTTATACTTCGTTATAGCCCCTTATTTTAGTGATGACTAATTCTTTATATGATGCAAGATATACGCTGTTTAAACTAACCTTACAAAAACTAGCGCCTCTACAGATTCGTCCCACGTCCAATGTCCACCTTCATACAACCCTCCAAAACCTCCTTCATCTTCATCATCAGCCATTTCAGAAAAAATCTAAATTATTCAGTATTTATCAATAGAGACAAAACTCGCTCAACTATTCAAAGTCAACTTGACAGTCACGTAATATTTTATTTCTTAATATAGACCTCAGCTGTGACTTTAGAGGTGTAACGTGACTTATTTCGATATAATATATAGAATTTTCAATGGATTTGTGTATGAATTAAAACTAAAAAAATACTAAGTTTGTTCCATAAAACAAAAATCCTAATCTTCTGGTAATACCTAGTATTATTTATGTATCACAGACGTATAAATAAAAATTGAAAATATTTTGGCATTTGACATTAACATTAATACTACATGGATCCAAAATTTCTATTTTTATAATTAATATAGTATGTCATTAAGTAGGTATGCAATATATAATTAATCCCAACATTGTTCAAAGGCGTGTGCGTGAAGTGTAGGTAGGTAGGTAGGTAGGTAGATAGTAGTAGATACGTATCTTAGTCTCAATCACAGACAATACATATTCAATCGTGTTTGTACTGCCATGCAGTTGCGGTATTTACCATGGTTGTTTTGAATTCCTAAGGAACAAAAAAAACATAACACACCCCCATAACTAAATAGTTGAGGTACACTATGGTATCTACCTATTTAATGAATTTCTTACAATGCTGTTATATTCATAAACTACGCTTATTAATGCGTTTATTAGTCATCATAATGCGTATCGGTATGTTAATCTAAAGTTACGAAATGAACTCGAGTTACCATGGATATTTTACTAGTAGATACATAGTTATAAAATAAATTTTCCATATCGGGGACTTTTAAAATCATACTTTTAATAATAATTCATGGACAGCTATAACTTGCGAATCAGAATTTCCATCGAGCGTGTTTGTAAGTTCAGTTGAATTTACGATGTCACCAGTAAGTTGCTCTCGACGCCACTGAATATAAAGTTATGTTAATGCCACTACTGCACCTAACTCCAAACCTTAAAACTTGTAAAATGTTTAAACTTATTGGGAATGTACGCTATTGCGTGAATACAAATCGCCAGTATAACTAATGGAATTCCATTTTGAACATTTGTAAACACGAGTTATGCCTACTGAAATTATATCATGCAAGACCACACGAGATTATTAACTCATATTACATAAAATATCTAAATTCCATTCCAATTAACCTCACCAACTTCATATCCGAAATCGTATATACCTAAATAAAAGTATTTTATTGTAGACGGAGTAACGTAGCCTCCAATAATGCCTGATAATTAAAAAAATATTTTCTTGTTATTAAATTGAACTGTACATAGCTATTGATATCAATAAAATTAAGACAAAATATTGGAATACCTCGAACAACAAATATCACAACCAGCATACGACTTCATTCCCTTGCATTACAATAGGGAATAGTTTGATAGCAACAAAGGATTAAGGTCTATTGATTCCAAAAAAATATTAATTAGGTCATTAAAAATGTAGCACATAGAATGCACCATATCTACTTACGGACATTAGTGCATATCTATCTACTGGATGAATGAAAATTGTGGTAAATTAAATTAGTTAGTTGGACATATGAAGTAGGTAAGTTATTCAATATTACATATTTCAATAATTACAGTACAAGTGAAACATTGCTGCAAACAGATACCGGAAGAAGGAATTCGGATACAAAAAAGAGAGAATTGAGAATTGAATGCAATGTAATACAGAAAACCTAGTTTACCTATTATTTTTTATTAAATTTATTTTTAAAATAATATAGAAGAAAATTCTAACACTAATTTTAGGCATAATAATTTTAAACAAAATAAACTGGATGTAAATTGGAGCAAGTATGTCATATGTTAAATCATTGAATACGAGTTAACAGCCGATTGCACACAAGGCTGTGAGATGCGCAGCTTTGATCATGCCCGTTCTGCCATGTGATCAAATGAGTGTCTACTTAGATTGGCACCCAGCATCAGTACCCATTACCCAGCCGGGAGTAACCCCATGTTTGTTTACAAAACTACATATTGAAAAATATATGTGTTATACATAAGTTTTTCTTCTTTAGTTTCATTATTTCAATCAGTGTAAATATGACTCTACCTTTTTTTATAGCACAGGGAACAAACAAGCATGCGTTTCACCTGATGGTAAGTGATTACCACCGCCCACGAGCAACTGCAACACCAGGGAAATTGCAAGTGCGTTGTCGCCCTTTTAAAAAGGAATAAGCTCTTTTCTTGAAGGTTTCATTATCGTATCGGTTCGGAAATACCATTTCTGGAAGGTGATTCCACAATGTGGTTGTGTGTGGCAAAAAGTTTCTAGAAAACCGCACTGTGGAGGACCATTCATCCTGATGATCATTACTGTTAAGAGTGGCGTAACCTATAGGAGCTCTAGTTTCCCCAAATTTAGATTAACATATTTTAATATGTAAATAATTAACAAAATATATTATAGTTAGTTTTAGTAATAATTAACAAAAATAATTATTTAAATCAAAATAATTCAAATCGTTTACAGAAGAAATAAGTTAAACGAAGCTCGTACATTCCTACCAACATTTCTCATCCAACCTCACTTCAGGTGAGTCCTCAAATTGCTCCGAATTGAAACTGCTATAGATACAAGTTTAAAAATCTGTTTTAAATTATACCACGAATTCGTCAAATAAACCTGAAGAAGCTCTACCAACACTTTCATAAACAAATTTAATTATAACGGCGTCAGCTACAGAATTTTTATCAATATTCAAATAGGGGTGATAAAATGTCTGTTTTGAAATCAAGTAACTACGTACCTACTCATAAAATTTAAAACCGGTTGCTGTAAATTAACAATGTAACAATATTAAATATAGACAGATATGTATTTAATAATTTTAATATTTATTACATATTTATTTCATAATTTTGTTTCTGATAATATGTAAATTAAAATAATTGCCACATACCTACTACTGTTCCATCCATTTAGATTCGATTTGAAAGTGTTAGGTTATTTACTAATATGAGATATACGATACGATACGATTTTTTATATATTTTTTTTAATTTATATTAGCCATTATTCTGGAGCGCACTTTCCAATTGTTTATGCAAAGAAGAAGAAAGTTTACCCTTTTCTATGGTTATATAAACCATAGGCTATAAGGCTATATGATAAAAATAATGTTACCATATAATAAAACATTCCTGTCAGCTTGCAGACAGTTAAATCAAACAAGTGATTTTATTCCCGATTAATATCTAAAATACGTTTTATCAAAATCTGCAGAAAACTGATAGAAGTAAAATAATTATAAATATTTGTAGTATTTTGTATATTAATATTGTTAAAAATATATTCTGTATGTGTCGGTACATTTTACGGCCTATGGGCTAGCTACGAGTTATTGAGTAATAAAGGTCAACGCAGGGCTATATAGGCCAAGCAAGAAACCCCAGAAGGTCGCCAAACTTCATAATAACTCAAAGTAAACTCATCGCAACACATTTAGGATTAAAAGGAGGAGACCCTCGTGATGTCCCTTGGCATAACAATCAGTTTAAGTAAGAACATTACATAATTAATAGCATCATAGAAAACATACTTACCTTTTAATGTTTGAAACCGACCACATAGAAATAGGTAGTTATTCGTACATATAAGTATATTTACGTCTACTCTCGCTTTATCTGTTACTTTTCTCGGATTCCGAAAAACTGACAGAAATGCAGTAAATACAAATACCTACTCAAAATAGGGTGTGAACTACATATATAAAATGGTGTCGTCTATATACATGAACAGCATGCACCACATGTGACGCCCGTGATACCGCGTTGGCAATCCCAAGGACGAAGATGTGATGTCTTTGCCTTTTCACTACCTTTTCTCACCTTACAACCGAAACAACTTACAAAGCAAGATGCTTGGCGGCTAAACTGAATGAGATTGAGATACCCCCGCAGACGACTTTGTACAAAGTCTACCTACAATACAAAAGTTTAGATCTACATCTAAAGTTTTGAATTGCAAATGTAGACAAGGTCTTAACTTCAATTAACCGGTTAAAGCAAATACCAACATGAGAGTAGCAATTTGGTGCCAACACGTTCTGATAATCTAAAAGGCAATAGGTATCATCAAATAGTGACGCATCCGGTGGGAATTTCTAATTAACACATTGATAGCAGCACTGTTTATATTACTAGATAATATTATATTCTACTTGCTGCACGCAACTTTTAATGTACCAATATCTATAAGAATTATAAGAACGAACATATATATAATATTGTTATCTATAAAAATAAGACGAAGTCGTGGAGAACGTCTGTCTTACATCTTTCATTAAATACAAGTATTTCAGAATGCAATTCTATTTATCAAACCTTTAGCAACTTTTTTGCTCTACAACTAATGAACATCAAACCAACAAAATCTCCAAACGTTATAGTGTTCTCGAGTTTAAACACAGCAGAAAAAGTCAGCATCAGAGGTTTCAGGCATTCGAGTCATTTTAATACCAGGCAAGTACCATTCGTGGCACGTGGTATTAAAAAGAAAGAAGCATTGTTACAAATGGCATTCAATGAAATCAGAAGGCCCTGAACGTCAAATGAAGAAATGAAGTATAGCAATTGGCCGGGGGGCACGTACAGAGCGGGTATAATCCTTCGCCGGCGGTGTTCAATCTACTCCAGTCATAAACCGGTGTTCCGCGGACGTAAACTGTACTACGTGCCGTGGCGAAGTGAATTGAATAATACACGCTGCGTGATCAACGACCGCTGTGTACAACTGAACCTATTTTAGAATTTCAGTCTATATAGTTCAAAAAGAGATGGTCTAGCTTCGTTTACTTTAAGATAAAAGATAGCCCGTTTTTTATGAAGGGTAAACAAGCTAATGGTCCATCTGATGATAAGTAGAATCTTCTTCTATACACATAAATATTATAGTACTATGATATCACGTTTTTACTTAGAATAAATATACAGCATATTTACACTAACATATCCATCTACAAGCTAATGTTATTTCTGTTCAAATAAGTCTTATTTCACTAGACACAAATTAACATACCTACTAGAATATATACATATAGGTACGTACGTACGTGTTTTAATAAAGCAGTTAATAAAATGCTAAATCACAAATTTGAATGAACAACTCTTTCTACTCCATTTCACTCTTATTTTCAAACTTCCAATTCGCTGATTCCGGGGATTGAACTTTTACGAATAACTTTAGATGCTTGCCCATGTGTAAACGAGACATATATGTAGATATTTGAATACTTAACGTTTTGCTATAATTAAATACGTGTAAATAGAAACACATAACATTGGACGAGACATGTTTAATTTACCCTAGTTTGTGCCTACGCAAAGATGTGATGAATTTCAGCAAGACTTAATGGTAGGTATTTTTAATTTCATACATTTTCAGTCTAATAATCTTCATACCTTTGTTTTTAAGAAAAAGCCTACTGGAGGTTTTAGAAAGTTATGATGTTAGTATTGTGTCAATTAAGTAAATTCATATAAATTATACATTACTGGCATATATGTGGGTAGGTACATTGTTATTAACATTTTATGCTCCCAGTCAATATAATAAAGAATCAGTCTCGTAAAGAGTCTTGTCATTATGACATCGAAGTTAACAGTTGTGCACTATAATTTAATAGATACTATGTAGATATATATATATATATATATATATATAAATTCACCTACTACAATACAGGCAATACGCGATCTATTATGAAGGCGTCACGTCAATAAGGACAATTTGAAATTGGAGAATCAAGATGATTACCGCATCGTTATTACGTTAGTGACAATTTGAGGGAAGTTAGTGTTAATGTGACACTTCAAACCGCTTCCCTTGGCAAATCTGCGTGTAATAACCCGCGCCGCCCGCGTCCTTACTCTCAATGAATATTCATAGCGCGATCGACGTGCCTTCTCTTTATTCACTGTAAACACGTGTACGTGTCATTCCAAGCCTATCTTGTATTACGTATTCTATTTCTGTAGAAATTTAAGCTACATCTTAGATGTCTACCTGAAATCTAGAACCATCTAGAATGTTCTGCATTTAGAGATTGATCTATAATTGCGAAAGTGTAAATAAATCGCAAAAGGAATTGTAAGTCTAAGAGATTTATGGTTTACAGAATATGTTACGGTGTACTCTAGGGATCCGTGACGAGGGTGCATCGATTGGGTCAGTTCCATTTGGTTGTATATGCCCATGACACAACACATAAATTTTACGATTGCTACCTATTTATTCCAAATATTTAATGGCACCTAGTTATACACAACACTATATGACTAAGGTGTAATTCTTATTTAGCAGTATAGTGTAGGTTATAACTAAATACACTTTTTTTTATATAGGTATACTTAAAAAACTGCCAGTATGATGAAAAGAATATTACATTTGGTCGAAATTGTATCTCTATTGTGAACGTGAAGTAACTATGACATATATTATAAATCACATGAATGTGAATTTAGGAAAAGTTAATCGGAAATTAAGAGTTAATTAAGTGCTAGTAAAATTGAAGCGAAACAGCAGGACAAATTACTCCAACTACTGTACTTTTTTTTAAGGTTAATAATGAAGTGGTGACGCCTCCGAAGAAGGTATACGCTAGCGAGGCATCAGTGGAGAAGGATAAGATGACTATGAGGCCATATGGAGGTCAACCTCACATTAATCCACATTACTAACAATCCCCTTCACTTCCGATGGCAAAACAAGTTCGAAATGGGTGCAGGATTCGCGGTTTAAAGCAAGCACGTTCATAACAGATACAGAGTTCGGAAATCGTTCTGAAATAAAATATTTGTGCAAAAATGAGACAATGCTACGTTGGTTCTGTCATGCGAAAAGAATGTCTGATGAAGGAACGACGAAACTGATAATAAATTCAAACAAGCAAGGTTGCAGAAAAAATCTAACAATAAGAGTGGCACTAGACTCCTGCATCTACCGGCGGTTTCACTCGCATTTTAGCCTCTGTGTTGTTCTGATTTATAAGCTACATTTTGGTAAACCTTTATAGTAGTAAAGGTTCATCAAAATTCGTTCAGTAGTTTTTGCGTGAAAGAATAACAATCATCCAGCCGTCTATCCATCACTACTTACATACTTTGTCACTTCATATTTATAGATTATTTATTTCATTAGCGTAATATAGAATTGGTTCTTACTAACACCAATTTAGTAGACAACTATAATCGGTATAATATAATTTACCAAAAGCTACAACCGGTATTGAGGGAAAATAAATACAGTTTAAAATTGTAGTCATTTAATTTACTTTTTTTGCATATCCACTTAAATTTACTGAACCTACCATAGGAAGTCTACTAAGGTTGAATGTCAAGAAGTAGTAGTAATACGAAATAAAGAAATACAATACTCCTATACTACAATAGACAGATGTCAGCATTAGGGGCAAGAATGGTAAGGTTTTATCCAACCCCCAAGTTGTATGAAGAATATTTTCATAAAAACATAATATCAACAGACCATATATGTATAATGACTCTAAATGATTAAGCAAAGGCAGTCGCATAAATGCGCGACGCTTCCTACTTTTCGGCTTTTGAGGTATCTCATACAACAATGGAATGTTACCAAAGGCAATCGCAGTATGTGTCAATAACATAAATATTTTGATGGCCAATAAGTTCTTTGGATATAACAAAGGAAAAAGGGAGTAGTGCCCAACTGTAGATATAATGAGGAATAATTTTCCATCTACGGCGCCCAGTACTGACATAAAGCTGCAACAAATCACACGGAATTATAAATACATCGATATAAAAACAATGATAAATATGTTGCATTTAAACTAATAATTATGTTTATTGAATCAATTAAAACACATAACTACCTCAAAAAAAATGTATCTCTTATAAAATTAGCATTCAAAAACAATAATATGCAGTATTAGTGATTGATTGTGATGCCGATGATCGCGGATTCGAATCCTCGCGCACGGTTTAAATATTTGTATTTATGAGTATAATTGTCTGTATCGGTCTGGTTATTTTCTATGTATATTATATATGTATTTACAAAAAAATTGTACCTAAGTATTCATATCAGTTATCTAGCACCCATAACTTTTATAACCCATATTTTACAACTCATAACTCTTTATGTTATATTATTGGCTCACTACACGCTTTGGATTAAGTAAGTGTAAGTAAGTGTGGTGAGCACCTTATCTTAAATAAATAAATACCACAAGCTTTTCTTACATTGCGACTAAATCGCGCTATGTGAACTGTTCAAGGATATTATTATATTAGTCACTGTGATAATGAAAAAAAAACTTAGCTTAGTTTTGCATTTAAAGTATAGTTGGTTACATTCATAACATATTCTACCTAAGACCTACATAGAGCTCTAATAATTAATTAGTACCTCAATTAGTTTCTTAAATTGTACTAACTATAGTAAGTAGTAATAAAGAGGAATAGAAGTAGAAATAGAAGTATTACATACCTTAATGGTATTAAGATCATAAGTATTGCCTTTTCATGGACATGCCACCCAAACATAAAAGAACAAGTAGCACATACAATAAGACATCTGAAAATATAATATTTCATAAAGATTTAAATTGCAACATTGGTGATTATAGTTTATAGACTAACAATAAAATTAAAGAGATATAACAAAAATATATAAATTATATAGTCCAAACAATATTAATATAACTAGTAAATCTGGTTGAGAATTACAGTATACAACAAAATGTCTCAACTTCTTTAAAAGTCACCTGCCTTCTGTTTGATTATATCTTAAATTATGCAGCAGATTTTAATGCAGTTTTCAGAAATAGACAAAGTGATTCAAAAGGAAGATTTATATGTATAATATATATGCCAGGAGGGATTGCTAGTTTCATATAAACTATAAATCATTTAATCTAGTAACTATAAGAACTTCTACTTCTATATTCATATTTTATATTATAAACTAACCTTATAAAGCTCAGTGCTCTGTACCTCCTATCTGCACAAAGATACCATAGTTTAATTAGAGCAGGAAGTATTGAACCTCCAGCTAATATGAATGTCATCCATGGCTTTATACTGGGCAACACAATATGATCAAATTCTTGAACCAGTCCACCAGTCATAGAAGCTTGCACTTTTGGCACAGTTATTCCCAGTTTTGGTACTAAAAAAGGGGAGATAATGAACAATAAACATCTCATTACCAAATTTTAGTCTTTAGTTATACCTTAATTTACAATCTACTCACATATATGTTCTAGAACTTTATCACCAAAATTATACAGTGCCCAGAAATTTGGAGCCCAATATGCGTGACATAAACCTCTTTTGAATGGAAACAATCTTGATAGTAACTGTAAAATTAAACAAGAGTATACTTAAAATATATAGAAACTTTGTTTATATTTAAAAAAGATACAGGTGATATTAAATAATGTTTTTAACAAAAACGTATATTACTAATTATATTTTATTAGTAATTAGCAATAATAAGGACTTCTTTTATTTTAATTAAATTTCAGTGTGAATATTTCTTACCTGTGGCAAGTGTTCTATAAATGGTCCAAATGACAAAATAAAGACTGTAGTGACTGTAATAGCCAGTTTAAACAAATTTAAGACTGAAAATGAATACCATGGTGTATGAATGCCATCATCAGATGGAATTGTAAAACAATATGCCCTTAACAAATATACAGTATATACAGGGGCCATATAAATATATATGTGTTTCAAATTCAATAATACTGCAAACCAAATTGCAGATTGAATATAATTGCTCTGAAAAATAATTCATATTAAGTACATTATTATCCATTAAAATATATGTAATTATAACAATTAATAAATAACTGCTTACTGTTATAATGTTTGATATTGATAATAGCAGAAAACCATACAAAAACCCATTGTATTGAAAATGTATATGATCAACCATTAACAATCCTGGATTGGATATCAATAATATAAATACGAGAAGCTTCCCATTTCCTATTAGATTAGAGCAACTGAAATATACAAAATACTCTGTAATTTTTAATTGTAAGCATTTATACTAACTATTAAAATAAACAGCTACAAACCTTTTGACACCACATATATAAATTAAATCTAATACAATAACTGATAATCTTTGAAACCAAATTGTCATATCAGAAGCATAATTTAAACTGGTCACATTGAGCATTTTTGGGTCAAAATATTTAGCTACATGTGATAGCATATATTCCAACCAAGCAAAGAATGGGGGGTAATCTAAAGTCCATTCTGAAGTAGAATCATAATACCACTGATCTATAGATAAGTTGTGAGTAACCGCTAACCAATTTCTATGAACTTCAAAGTCAGTAGAACGGCTGCAACAGTAAAAGAAAATATGTTAAAAATATGTTATTCACTTAAAGAAAAGATAAGATAGTAAATTGGAATACAAAATGAACACTTACTACAATGGTACGAAGAATATTTTTATAGTTGTAACAAGTATAGCTATCTGCCATATCATGATGAATTAAATATATAAAACCTACAGTCTAATAGTGATCTAATATCAACTACCTAAATTCATTAGCCGGTACAATATATAAAACATAACCACAATCATAATAAAAATAAGGAAACATTTTCTAGGTTGCGAAGTCAAAAATGACATTCAGATTGAAGTAAAGTAATCAACCATAGAGTTCTATATTTTTACATATTTACTACCAAAATGTGAAAAATATAGATGAAGAAAAAAATATCATTGAGAAACGTTATCAACGTAATAGAACCCAAAACAATAACTGTCGGAATTTATGTCTTAACATCAATGCGTACTAATTTAAATAAATTACTTTACTTTATTTTACTTTACTTTTTTTTTTTTTTACTTTACTTTACTTTACTGTATTTTACGGTGTGCTTATGCTAAGCTTAATTTAAAATTTATTAAGGATAAAATGGGAGGCATGTTGTATCAACTATTAAAGAGCACGATGGAAGATCGCAGAAAGTGGAAGGAGCTCCACAAGAGCGTAGCTCTTAAATTATGAATGAATGATAGCAATATATATCATCTGGAAGGCTACTATGACCGAATAAGAAACAATCCTTACGCAGGGCAGTTCAATAGCAGTAAATTTTTGTAGTTTCGAATACTGAGTATGAAGTCCTAGATTCAATTAGTTTTCTTCATAAATATGTAATTATTAATTTGCAATAGTAATTTGTTTTAATTTCGGTTTTTCTTCAGCGCCTTTTTAATCAGAGACAACACTGCTGATCGCAAACTCCAGTCGAGTTTGTCCTCTCACTGTCAAGCAACAAACTGTCAATCAATTGTGCTTTTGAAGTTGTATAAATAATGTATCGTTAGATAAACATTTTTATTAATTTATAATTTACTCTTATTGTTATGAAAATAATACTAACAGTTTAATAGTAAGCTAAGTAGTCGCGGTTAATTAATATGGCTATATTACACAGGGCGCTATTTACCTGGTTCATTTTTCTAGTATTTTTGATATTATTATGCCTAAGGTTAGAATCAAGAACACATTGGAATTGGTTTATTGTTTTTATTCCAATGTGGGTTTATGATAGCATATTATTGATATATGTTCTATTTCATATGATTTCTCACTGTCGAAATGGCATTGAAATATTCCGAGGCACAATCAACAAGAGCGTGTGGTACATTGCAGCTATTGGATTAAAAATGGCTGCACAAATCATAATTTGTATAAAATTGGAATACACAAAAGTGAATCTACCCATCTATGTTGTTATGACGCCTATTTGGATGTTATTACCGGTTCTATGTGTAGAAGTTTTTATGCATCTATTAAAACACTCCAGTACTAGCAGTAGATATTAAATTCTATGTTATACAAACCTCAGCATAACAAAAAATAACGAAACTTCAATATCTCAACTACTATAGTAAACATGGTCAGGAAAGAACATGTGACTCCAATATTATAGATAATTTTAAACTTGGCACACACTCATTGACATATATTTATGTTTGCTCATGTCAAAATGTTCAGTGTCATGGTTGGGAAGTTATGATATAACTCCATCACAGTTACTGTGGATATTTAACCATCAAGAATGCCCATTTTGTCTGATAAAGTTGCTCAGATTAAAAACTCCGGGGTAACAAAGGTGTCTGCAGGAGACACAGCTGTTTTAACCTGTACCAGTAATGACTACAATCACAATTTTATGTTTTGGCTTTTTGATCAGACTAAAGTGATTGGACCTGGAAATGATTATGACAAAAGTAAATATACATATGAGGTATTGTCTGGGAACCTTAAAATTCATGTAAGTACTTTATTGACTATGCTTACTGCCACATCTTTGTCATGTTATTAATATTACTATAAATTTCATAATGACAAGGTGACATGATTGTAAATTAGTACATAATTATCATCATGGCTATCTAATCATTCATCATCCTATCATTACTCATCTAATCTATTCTGAAAAACTTACTTTGTATGACCATAAATTTGCAAGGATTACTCTCCTGTACTTGTGTAAATGTGTATTAAAGTAGTGTAAAATTAATATTACTGTATTGGTAAAAACTATATTGTTTGCAAATAAATGTTAACATATATAGTTATATCTTATTGTATTTATTAATGGTGTCCATAAAAAGCAATATACATGATATCACAGATCTGCTTAGCAATTTGTCTGCAGAAAATAAAAATGTCAATATATCCTTATTAATATCATGAAATTTAGTGTATGTTATTTTTTAAACTTGACCTTTATTCATTCAATATTGTTCTAGTAATTTAACATCGATTTTGCATTTGCATATTTGATGAGGATATTTTAAACTAGTTGATGCATCCTGGTATTGAGAAATGAAGTGAAGTAATATAATATTATATAATTTATTTCCAGAGTGTGACCCCAGATGAAGCTGGATATTATAAATGTGTCTCAAAAGATATCAGTGGATCAGGAGGGATTTCTGTGGGGGAAGTGGATTTGATAGTTGATGGTACAACATATTCTGCTTCCGAAGCTGTAAAATTAGTGGCTATGGTGGTTTCCATTATAGTAATCCTCGCTTGTGCCATCATTTATTTTCGGTTAAAAAAGGAATGGGGCAAATATGATGGTCGAACTGTTGTACCAGGTATTGACTTTATGTAATTTATGTAGCAGTTTTAAGTTACTACAATGCAAATGTAAATGTTAATACAAGTTATATACATGAATATTATTATGACCACCATATTGATATGTAATGCTCATAGATCCTCTAAATAAATATGTTAAATATTAATAATATGTATAAAGAACTGAGGTAAATTATATAACATAATTGATAATTGTTGTGTGGATGTTGGTTGTAACATAATGAAAATGGGAAACATGCTACCTGAAAACCTGAATAAAATAATATAAAACATTTGAGTGGTGGTAATAATGAATGCTACTGTTTATTGTTGCTTCACACATCAAATGAATTATGGCAACTTAAAAACTCCCAAAAAAGGCAAAAATTTTTATTTTTTTAAAAAAAATTCTAAAGCATTTAAATTATTTTTTAAAATCAATAATAAAACTGAAAATTTATTTTCCAGTGGATGATACAGATGATGGAGATGAAATATACAACAGAACAACCACTGCTATTAATCAACCCGTTGCTGGGCCCAGTAGGAACCCTTCATCAGAGCAACTCCTTTATGGTATAGATAACCAAGGTTTGGATACAGATTTCAATTCTGTATTTGAAAATATACAAATAAAATCTCCACAAAGAAGTTTGATATAGTTTAATGAATTTAACTCATACCAAATAACTAAATGCTATATTATATAGTGAAAATTTATAAATTCTTATAATTCTTCTTATAGTAAGAAGTAAATTTTCTGTGTTATATTAAAATATTTTAGTTTAAAATCTGTGATTAGTGTGATTATTTTCCAGATACAATTCTTTCCTTCCTTTGTATATTTACCAATAAGAATAAAACTGTGATTATTGTAGATAATTATGTAATATAGTTAGAATATGAATGTAATTTAGGTAGGTATTTAATAATTCAGCAATTTTGTACATTTTTGTTGTCAATATTGTTATGAAAACAAAAATAATGAAACAAAATTTATAATTGTATTTTATTCCACATGTTCACAATACATTAAAATGTAATATCATTCGTAGGGCGCCTATCGCTTGTATCTGGGCTAGTTACACTTGTATGTGCTGCATTTGGCTGTGGAGTTGTTTCTAATGTATCATCTTCCTCATCATCACCATCAACTTCCATCTCAAACACTTTAACTTTCCTAAAACTCTTAGATAAAACAACAGCAACTTTACGACCACCAGAAACTGCTATGCGACATCCATCCATTTTATCTAGCACTTTGTAAACATTTGGATCTAATAATGGTGAAATATTTTTAACAGACACTGTATCACTAAATATACATGACTTTGATTTAATGTTAAATTCACTAGAATTTTCCAATGTAATTTTAGAAGGTACTTGAATAAATATACTATTTTCTTCACTATTTGGATGTTGAACAAGAACTGATAAAAACTCAGGGGAATAATATTGTAAATCTAACACTATCATGCATTCTCCGTCTGTTGAGTCTCTGTTTCCAACCAACAAATTGGATGTAAAATGATATTTTGTTGCAATACCACTACACATTTTATCTTTTACATTAGTAGATATAAAATAGAGTCCATTATTTCTAGCCATACTGACTAATGCAACCATAAATCTTTCTTGTGTTTCATCATAAATTTGTGTAACCCTCAAGTTGTTACTAAGGTTCATATTTTCTTGTTCTTCATAACATTTAAGATTATATAAGAGAGTAAAATGTTTTCCCACATCTTTAGTAGTTACATCAAATACTTTATGAACAGCACTTTTTAAAAATATCTGTTGCTGTACGAGAGAAAACTTTCTAAACTCAGACATTGAAAAAATTATATCATTATCTTTTAGCAAACATGAATTATCCTTTAAAAATTTGTGCCAAGGATTATCTTCGTCATCTGGCAATATACTCAAATCTTGATCCTGCAAATACTGACCCAATCTCTCTAAATTAAATTTAACTGGTTTTTCAGATGCATTATCCTTATTTTCCATTTGTACATTATCAAAGTTGTACAAAAATTCTGCAATGTGACTGAGTTCCTGTTGTGTCATTTTGACTATTTCACTTGGAGTTTGTTCATTTAACAATCTTATTATCATAACATACAGCCACCTGAAGAATGATTTATAATTGCGCATTGAAATATCAATTACTTGTTGTAATTCTAAACATTTATTCAAAAAAGCACAACATGCTTTAATTGCTTCAGTCACAGCACTTTCTTCTAAACCCAATATCTAAAAACAATAAGATTTATTAAGTGTAGGTAAATAAAACAATTAGGAACAAAAGCAATATGAGAGTAAATATTACCTTATATCTATCTGGTATTCTTGTAAGCCCTCTGATTTCTGAGAGATAATAAGTTAAACTTTGTCCAACCACATTCAATTGTCTCAACACTAATTTCTGTATTGTTGAATAACTCAATTCCACAGAATTACCAGACTTCTTTAAAACCTTGGCTGTTAGTTCTCGGAGTAAAAACAGTTCTAGTTCATCTGATGGTACACCTAAAATAAAGAGAATAATTTAATTAAATTAAATATAGACAATTACTTAATATCATACAGAAGTCTGCACTGCAGCAAAATATATGGAATGCTCTGTGTCAACATATTGACTGTATTTTAATTATATATTAAGTTAAGGCTGAATTATTTATAATAATTCAGCCTTAACAAATTGAAAACATTTTAATAATCTTATTATTAATATTATAAATGGGAATGTTTATTAGTATGCATGGGGTTTGTTACACTTTCACGCAAAAACTACTAAACAGATTTTGATAAAACTTTACAGCAATATAGCTTATACATCAGAATAACATATAGGCTATAAATTTCACACGGGTGAAACCGCGGGCACAGGTCGTATACATAGAAATGAGGTAATGAAAAGTTAACAATAAGTAAACTATTATTTTATTAATAATTTAATTCAATTGGCATATTAAAAATATTCACATAATTATTTCCTTTTCATCCTTCCTCCCATTCTCTATGAAATATTTATCTTAGCTTTCTTTAGCTTATATATAGAGCTATATTTAACATGTTAGGAGAAAATGTCATCCTAAATCTTCCAGCGATTTTTATATTTATACTGATAAAGAAACTGTTAGCACATGTACTCAGGGCAGGGTTGAAAGACCCTGTTTATGTTGTTCAAGTTTTATTATATGTAAAGATTATTATTATAATATTGATTATTGTAAATACTAACCTAACATCAGCAATTCCAGCATGTCAGCTGAAACTCCACCTTCGGGGACTTTTGCTGCATAATAGGCCATTTTTGTATCCATTTCCAGCAATATATGCTCCCAAGCCTCAGTTATGGAAATCATAGTTTGATCAAGATATGATATCAACTCAACAACATGCCCATGTTTGTTAGCAACATGACAAATTTCTTCAGCATATGCTGATAACACACTTGTGTTGATAATGGAAAGATGTACAGTGTTTGTAATTCTGTCTAAGTAAACAACTTGCATTATACTGAAGTCATCTGATATACAAATATCTAAAATTTTGTATTCACCACAATCATCTTTAGTTAACTGTGACAAATTTATAATTCCATATGGGTATTTTCCAAATATACTCATGTAAATTAAACCTGAACTATAACCTACCATTAACATATTCAGTTGAGTTTGATCTTTAACCATTTCTTTAAAATCACTGATATTATCATCAGATCCAGGGCTTTTATATGCATTGCTAAGGGAGGGTAACCTTTGCAAATATATAGATGCATCATCCTAAAAAAAAATTGTGTTATTATTATTATTTTATACTCCTCAATGTTACTTATTGTATTAAGGTAATGTTACAGTATATTCCATTAGCTTATTAGTTATTTCTTGAGCTGAGATATTTACTCAATAATTATGTATATGGGTAAAATCCTTAAAATTTTTATTGTAGGTCTCTGTCATTGTCTAACATAAAACAAAAATTTTAGAATATTTAGTAAATGTAAAATTTTAACAACTTACATAAATATTGTAGGCAGATGAACTTTCTAAAGTGCCAGCCCGAGCAGCCCATGTTATACATGTAATTCCACTGTATTTGGAATCATCAAATTCTTCTGAACCCACATGGTCTAATTCATATTTATCGAGTATTTCCTTGTCTTCAATATCTACAATGTGGACACTACCTGAACTATAACCAATGGCTAAAACCTGCAAATTTTAAGAGAAATTCATTACAATGTATCTAACATACATAGTTGACACTTGGAATCTGTTTTTACATTTAAAAAGCAGTCAATTCTGACAGAGGTATTGAGAATTTGATACTTTATTAACTACTTGTTTATTTTATATTCAGCATATGAATTTATCAACATTCAACTTTTGAGCAGATTTGATGATGATGATGATACATACTTTCTGTTTCTTATTTACAATCCATAGAATATGATCTTAGTTTAGTACTATGTTGCAATTGTGGCATGTCCAGAGTTATTAATATTTGTTTATGTGATAAATTACCTTTCCGTCAGGTCTCCATGTCATTGCTTGAACAGTGATATTTTCTTTCGGTGGGGACAAGTTCCATACTTTCTGCCAATGAAGTCTATGTACTTGGACTTCACCTAAAACATAAATAATTCCTAAAATATTAATTTATCCCAACTTACAATATTTTTAGTAAAAATTATGTTATAAAATATTTGCAAAGTTAACTAAACTGAAGCAATTTATTTTTTTATTCCAATAATATAAATAGGTATAAAAAAATATTTAATTCCCTCCAAATCAAGTGTTTAGATACCATTCAATAATACCTCTTTGAACTAATATTTTCATTTTTGGTTTATTAGTATGTCATAATGGTTATGGTTTATGAAATAAAATTATGTAGGTTTTTCGGTTATAAGTCTTCAATTCAAAATATTTTGTAGGTCTGGACAAAAAAATAATTTATATAATAGACAACATGTTATATATTATTTAAAATAAAATACGTTGTTTTTGTAAAAATTATAATCAGCAGAAATTTATATATTTATATGAATTGTTGATTCTGTTTCTTTTCCTATTTCATTTAATGTAAGGAAATCAAAATAATACTACAGGACTTTAAAATAGATAAAGTAAATTTACCTTTAAAATTGCTTAAAGCTAATAAATCTAGCCTATTGCTCCACACCATAAGATCCACTTGATTGGCAACATGTCTCTCCCCTACTTGTCGCATACCACAGTGATACATTTTAAAAATACAATGAATGTATAATGTATAATTAAACAACTATTAGCGGCTAATATTTTGTCTAGTCTTTAATATTAAGTAGTAAGTATATTTAAGGTTAGATAGACATTATGTTCGTTGTCGGGAATGAAAATAGAAGTCAGAATGAAGTATGTACCAACGGATGACCCGGCGCGGGTATGTAGCAAAGAATATAGTAACTATGTGCAGATAACAGCTGACAGTGGTGTTTAAGACTCCTATAATCCTATATATTCATAATTAAACTTTCAAATTAAACTGATTAGCATATCCATTCAGTTTGCGATTTTAACAACAATTACTGTTATTTATTATTATATATTATTTGTTAAATAATATAGATAATATTTGCGACAGTTGACAGATATAAACAGATTATAACTATACACACTACACAGTGGACAGATAAAAACCGAGGGTTACCAATCGTAAAATGGACTAACATTAACTGCACGTAAGATTAATGATACTTAATTTTTTTATATAGATTGGTTTAACAAAGTTTCTGCAATTCACGTGGTTTCTTTTGGCGAATACACCATCGTTACCGCAAGCAGTTGAATCATTCCAAATAATTTCAATATCACCTTCAAAAGAATGTTTTAATGATGGCAACCCAGTCGAACGTAAGTCAGTGCTCAGTGATGCCAGATTGGGGGAATCCTCAAATGTGATCGGACCGACTGTTTACGTTATTAGTGTTGAATAAAACAAGAACTTAATATGTAGTTAGCACAACACATTAACTCTCAAATTTCTAAGAAAAAGAAAATTTACGAAATATAGTCGGTCTCACAGACATATTTATTTATTATTTGTACACTTGACATCAATGATTATAGACAAAATATTTAACAGCAATTTATAAACTATTATATTAACTATTTACAATTCTCAATAGAAAGTGGCCACTGAATTTACTTGGATAAGAGTATTTTGATTTTGTCCTTAGGATATTCAGTTCTGTTACTAGTTGGTAACCCTAACTGAATCTGACAGCTGAGTTGATCAGTTTTTGTACATTTATTTATTTACACAAATTGGTTTATACCACTTTTCGTGATATAGTTTTAATTGAAAAATATTGTACTGCTCTCTCAAAAATAATATGAGCAAGAGAAGTGAATTTTAACAAAAGAACAAGAAATATCTACTCAATATCCTGGTGCAAGTACCTAAATAAATGTTCATACAAATCTTATTGAGTAAAGTTACAAGGCTTGAAAATGTCAATGAATTCAAGTTCGTCCCCGTATTCAATACGAGAATTATTGGTAAATTCCTTAACACAACAGTTAAGTGAATATGAGCTGCTAAAATCTATGTATCCTGGAAATGATGACATTAAACTTACTGATAACAATGTTCTTAACGATATCAATAATTTTTTAGATAACAATTTGGAATATACACCACCGCATTTAGATTTTATTTTAAACTTACAATTGAATAATTTAAAATTAGAAATGTACATAAATTTGCCAAGCTTTTACCCTGAAGAAAAACCAGATGTATGTATTAGGTGCAATCAACTGAATCGTCACCAGGAAACACATTTAAATATGAAACTTGCAGACTACATAAATAATAATTATTCTGGAGAAGTGTGCTTGTACACTGCAATATCTTGGTTACAGGAACATATTGAAACATTTTGTGATAAAACAGAGGTTCAGTCTGATGATAACAGTGTTCAGGAATTGAAAAACATACACCAAAAATTTGTTAGACAATGGATATATTCGCATCATATTTACAATAAGAAGAAAAGAGAAGAAATAGTTAAAATGGCTAGAGATTTAAATTTGACTGGTTTCTGTGTTCCAGGGAAACCTGGGGTCATTTGTATTGAAGGAGCTGATACTGATTGCAAAGAATGGTGGAGAGTTATTAAATCAATGTGTTGGAAAAAAATTGTGATACGGAAAACAGAAATATTTGAACCATATGAACAAACTGACCAACAAAAGTTTAGTACATTTGAAGAAATATGTTTTAAAAATTCATCATCACGGTTTAACAAACATGCAGATATGAGTGGGCTATCCAGATATATGGAAGAATGTGGTCTGACGCAGGCGTTTCATGATGTGCTTGGACTATCTAATGACAGTTAATTAGATCAAATTATACTCAATTATTTAATTGTAATAAATCAAATTAATTGTTGTCTTTAAACATCTTTATCTTAAAAGAATCTAGAGGTGTATTACATTAAATAGAATTAATTGTTAGTTAAAATTATATCAAATTATTTTACTATTATTTTTTAGTTACTGGGTATAAAAGTTCTTTTAATATATGTTTATTGAATTAGCAACCCACATTTCTATTGATGTTCTTTGAAGAAAAGAGTTGTGTATATTTGTTTGTTCTATATGCTTTTACATCATAAGTCGGAGAGTAAATGAGACAGCTCCAATGTCAGTTTGGATATTTTAGGAGCAATAGCAACGATACGTTGTAGTAATATGAATTATAGATTTTCTGCCGACCTTGAAAATCCAGTACCTTGAACAAAGTTTGAGGGAAAAGCTATTCAGTGTAATGGCAACACTTATATTAAGCAAATAGGTGGTGGAAAGCGCGGGAACTTTGAGGCGGGAAATTCATTTTTTCTACAGTCTTTTGATATTAAAAAATTTATAGAGTTAATTAAATCCTAGCCCCGTTTTTGTGCGATAAAAATGGGTGCTGACAGTGGCGGCACCCAAAACAAAAAAGGGATGAGAAATTCTCCTGCTAAACCACCACCAAATAAAAGGAAGAAAGAAGCTACTTTACCACTACCACATGAAGAGGAAAATTCAGATAAAGATGAGGACCCTACATTTTATGCGCCTTATTTAAAACCTAATTATATAAGGAGTTATCAAGAAAATTCACCAAACACAACATTTACTGTATTTATACAAAGCATTAAAGAAGAGGTTAAATTTGGTAATAAAAGTCCAGTTTACTTAAATAATTTATTCAGTAGATATGTAAAAGGAGTCAAGGAATTGAGACGAGTAAATGCACTAAAATATGCCGTAATATTTGACAATGCAAAAAATGCAAATTCACTATTACGTGATTCAACCTTTTAAATGTTCAAGAATTAAAAGCATTCATCCCCGCATCGACAACTGAATGTACTGGTGTTGTAAAGTTTGTTCCCACTGATCTCAGTAACAAACATTTATTTAATAAATTATCTTCTCAACAGGAAATACTTTCAGTGAGGCGATTTATGAAACGGTCCGATAGTGGAATGATTCCACTTCAGACTGTCTCTATAACATTTGCAGGTAACACTTTGCCAGAATATGTAACGTACGAGCTATGTAAATTTAAAGTCGAACCATATATAAAACCTGTAATGCAATGTTATAAGTGCATGAAATTTGGACACACTACAAAGTTCTGTAAACGAGATATGGTTTGCTCAATTTGTACAGAAGGTCATAATTATAAAGAATGTACTAATGTTGAGAATCCTATCTGTGTAAATTGTAAAGGAAACCATACCGCAGTTTCCAGACTTTGTCCAGTTAAAATTCAAAAAATACTTGAAAATAAAGAAAAAATTATAAACAAAAACAGTACCCTAAGTTCACATTTTCCTAATCTGAACTCGAGTTTTGCTAAAGCAGCTCAAAGTTACACACCTAAGAGAAAAGAGAAAGATTTTATTTCAGAAGTTATCAATAACGATTTAATTTTAACAGCTTTAGTACAAACATTAACTTCCCTTTCAAAAAAAGACACTAACTTACCTGTTAATACTTCTACAATCAAAGAAGTATTTCTTAAAAACATCAATCTATAATGGATCAGAAGGTTATTATAGATTCCTTAAATATTGTACAACATAATATACAAAGTTTAAGACCAAAGCTTCCTTTAGTCAGAGAGTTAGTTGCTAAACATAATATTGACATCTTGATTTTAAATGAAACTTGGTTAAAAAATACAGATACAGTAAATATTAGAGGTTATAAAGTATATCGTTGGGATCACAATGTAAACAAAGGTCATGGCGGTGTTGCCGTCTTTTATAAAGAATTTTTAAAATGTTCTAATGTTACCACCCAATCAAATGATAAAATTCAAACTGTTGCAATTAAAGTTGAAATAAATTCTGGGTTCTTAAATATTTTAGGATGTTATTGTCCTCCTCGAAGAGGGCGATTCCCTGTTACATTATTAAAAAATATTATTCTTTCTCTTTCTTCTCCGGTATTAGTCATGGGTGATATGAATGCACATCACACTATATTTGGATGTCAAAGTAATCAAATTAGAGGAACACAGATCTACGACATGCTAGACGAGATAAATTTATGTGTTTTAAATACTGGTGAAAGTACCACATTAAATCGTCCGAATCAAGCCCCATCTGCTATTGATGTAGCTTTTGCTTCTCCTGTCATTGCTGGTTTATGCGATTGGTCTGTTTTGTCAGATGATACTTTGGGCAGCTATCATTTTCCAACTTTAGTTAATTTATACATAACACCACAAATTTATGAATATGTGGAACATTTATATATAAAAAAGTAGACTGGAGCTCTTATTCAGATTCATCTTATAAATGTCTAAATAATTTTGGTTCAATAACAAATCCTATATTAGCATACGAACAATTTTGCACAATAATTAATAATTTAAAAGTTGAATATATATCAGTTATTAAACCTAAGTCGAATTGTGTTAAAAGTCATATACCTGTACCCTGGTGGAATCAAAAATGCATCGAAGCTGTAAATAGAAGTAGATTTGCTTTGTATAATTATAAAAAATATCCTTCAATAGAAAATTATATTGTATACAAAAAAATTGATGCAGAAAAGAAACTAATTATTAAAGAACAAAAAAGAAGTAGTTGGATTGAATTATGTTCCAGTTTTAATAGACATACCAGTATAGGAAAAATTTGGAATTTTGTTAAAAGATTTAATCGTATAAGACGGAAAAATGTAGTAGGTGATGATTCTTGGGTAAATGATTTTTTAAATAAAGTTGCCACTAATAAAGAAACTGAAAACGTTGAAAATATAAATGGATATTTTAAAATGAATGATTTAAACACACATTTAATAAAACCATTTACCTTTGAAGAGTTTATTCTTGCTTTGAACAATAGAAAAGATACTACTCCGGGACTTGATGACATACCATATTTACTTATTAAAAATCTTCATGTTAATTGTAAAATGAAATTACTTGAAATATATAACAATTTATGGGAACATAATTTAATACCCGACTCTTGGAAAACTCTAGCAATTATACCTGTTTTAAAACCTGAAAAAGATCCGTCTTTAGCTGAATCATACAGACCGATTGCTTTGTCATCTTGTGTGGGAAAGATTTTTGAAAATATGGTTAAAAATAGATTAGAAATGTACGCAGAAACTAGAAATATTATACCTACATTACAATATGGTTTTTGTAAAGGAAAAAGTGCAATAGATAGTCTTCTAAAATTTACAGGTGATATTAAAAATGCTATGCTATGTAACTTACCTCTTATTAGTGTTTTTTTAGATGTACAAGGAGCATTTGACAATGTAGATCTATCAACTCTCGTTCAAATTCTTAATTCATACAACATACCAGGTAAATTTTCAGAATGGTTATTTAAATTATTTTATGGAAGAACAGTTTTTGTTCGATATAATAATAAGCTTTATGGTCTGAAATTAGCATTTAAAGGTGTAATGCAAGGCTCGACATTGTCTCCCCTCATATATTTACTATATACTGCGGAAATTCACCGATTTGTAAATTTGAAAAATGTAAATATATTGCAATATGCAGATGATATTGTTATGTATTCTTCTAGAGAAAATATTTTACAAATACAAATTGACCTAAATCTAAGACTTAGAGAACTGTACAAATATTATAAAACTAAATTGAAACTGGATATTAATCCCTATAAAAGTTCAGTTATGGTCTTTAATAGATGTAATTCTTTGTACAATCTAAATATTAATTATATAAACAATGTAAACATAAATATAGTCAATGAAAAAACATTTTTAGGAATAGTTTTTGATAGCAAAATGTCATTTTCATCTCATGTTACAAAAATATTGAATAAAATGGATAAAAGTGTCAATATTTTGAGATACTTAGCTGGTGTTAGTTGGGGTATGGATCCCAAGTTACTAAATATGTTGTATAAGTCCATTGTTAGAAGTCATTATGATTATGGTCTGTTTATTTATGGAAATTGCATAAACTATACTCAATTAAGAAAAATAGAGGTAGTACAAAATAAGGGTCTTAGAATCATAACAGGAGCAATGAAAAAACGTTAAACTTGGCGGGCGCGTTTTTTCTTTTGATTTAAATTTTATACATATTTTTCATTATTTAGTGATTGTGATACTGTATTTAGTTCTTTAATATATTATTTAGTTTGTTTATTGTAGTTAGTATAAATAGTTAGCTGTTTTATTGGTAAGTTTTTCGTTTTTTCATTTCTATGGACGATCCCCCCGACCCGGGGGGATTTGTCCCTCCGGCTTCTAACTATGTTACAATTTCATGCGAATCGGGTATGGAAACCGATACGTCTTGTTCAAACCGATCGATAAAACGCAGTCGGTTACAAAGATTTTGTAAAAGTTGTAATAAACGGAGAAGAAAAAATTCTTCAGATAAAATTACAGATTGCCACTGTACAGATGACATAAATGATGGCATTGAAATACAAAAACCTCTCACGGAAGTGATTTTCACTCCACAATCTGTAAATTTAGATCCCCCTCATCCATCCACATCTAAAGAAACAAATGAAAATAATAATATTTCTGAACCAGTAGCAAGGAAAATGTATGAACCCACAGACCATGCCCCATACTTAGTTCATGTAGTAAGACAAGAAAAGTCTCCAAATGACGGTACTACACTTCACCCTGTGACATTTGGTAAATTCCTCAAAAAACAGTATTTTAAAAACATTATTAATGGAAGTGTAAAACGCATTGGACGAAATAAAATTGCATTATCTTTCTCAGTTTACCATGATGCTAATACATTCATTAATCATAACAGTTTAAATGATTACAAATTACAGGCTTTTATACCAACATTTAATATTACACGTATGGGTCTGGTACGAGGTGTTCCGAGTGATTGGAGTCCAGATGAAATATTACAAAATATTTCTGTTCCTATCGGTTGTGGCAATATACTTAAAGTAAGACGGCTAAATTACAAAGTTGTTGTTGATGGCTCTCCCACTTGGAAACCTTCTCAGACAGTAGTAGTCACATTTGATGGTCAGGTACTACCAAAAAGAATATTCATGTGTTATAATGCATTACCAGTGGAATTATACACTTATCCAACTATACAATGTTTCAATTGCTGTCGTTATGGTCACACTAAAATTCAATGCAGGTCAAAGCCACGTTGTTTTAAATGTGGTCAAAATCATACAGGAGAAACATGTGATGTTGAAGATGCTTTTTGCTGTTTATGTTCAGGAAATCATTTTTCTACTAGCAAATCTTGTCCAGAATTCAATAGACAAAAACAAATAAAGTTATATATGGCTGAAAATTGTATTTCATATG